GCTGTGTTGCCCAGGCTGGTCTGGGAGTTCTTTCCTCTAGTTATCTTCCTGCTTCAACCTCCTGAGTAGGTGGGATTATAGGCGTGTGCCTGCTTACTTGGCTTAGTGGCTTATTCTATTTATTTATTTATTTTGCTTGCTTCGACTTTTTTTTTTCCTACTATGGTTTCTTCTTCCTGTAATTTTCTTCCTCATGCACCAGCACTGCAGGCTATTTTGTTCGGCATGCTGGCTGTGTGTTCTAGCCCACTGGCCACTCACTGTGTGTCCCTGGCTGGGATGTCTGAGTTGAGCCTGTAGGTTCTCTCCTCATGAAGCAGGAATAGATTAGAGCAAGAAGTCTTCCCTTGGGGTGCCGTATAATAACTAATGGTTCTTATTTTGAATATGTTTATATTCCCCCCTAAACGTAATCTAGAATCAAATGTGAATACACTCTGGGTTGTTCAAATTTCTATTTTCTAATATACCCCCTATGATATACTAGGTCATCCCTACCTCTAGTACAGTTTACTGACTTCATTCTTTCTTTTTTGTTCATTTTTATTTTTTTAGAGGCAAGGTCTAGCTATGTTGCCCAGGTTGGTTTCAAATTCCTAGGCTCAAGTGATCCTCCCGCAATAGGCATGTGCCACCATGTCCGGCTCCTGACTTCATTCTTTCAACATTCGTTGAGTAAACAGAAAATTCATTGACTATATTCTTATAGGTCAGATCAAGGTTCTAGAGACATATTGCCTGAACTCAGTTTGAGTTCTAGTTTCCTTACCATCTGCTTCTATTACCTTGGGCAAGTTATGTGATATCTCTGAGCCCCGGTTCTCCATCTGAAGCATGGGGATGACTGTGACACCTAATTCTCAGAGTAGCATAAGGCCATAAGCTCTACTAACTGTTAGAGTACTGATTGGGAGGTTTGCCTAGGAAACCCCTAATCTAGTTGGTAGGAAGTTATGGAGTACTTATGTATCCGTATAATATCTTAAATTTAAAATGTTATGCAAGGCCTGTGAAGAAAGGTCTCTAATTAAACCTAGGACCCTCTCTACCTTTGGCTGCCTGGTTCTGGGGTAAGGGAAAGTTAGAGAAACTGGTTATTCCACCTAAAAAGTCAGGAATAGATGAACTTTCTCCTGGTGACCATCCAGTCACTTATATGAGAACTCAGTACTGAAGACGCATGAGTGCCAAGCACATACATACTTGGAAGCTCACCCTGGTGTTGTTGCCAATAAGAAAACAGGCATGATGCATGCTGTGATAAGGGAAGTAGAGGTTGTGCCATAGGCCAGAGGGAGGTGCAGCAAAGGGAAGGCTGCTCAGGGAAGTTGATTCTGAGCTGTGACCTGAGGATGGGGCAAGGGAGTCCTATCAGGGGCTGGAAGAGTTCCAACAAAGAGAACTGCACAGGGCCAAAGATGCAGAGGGAGCTGGTCTGCCTGAAGCCTGAAGTGTGTGGAGGAAAGGCTGACTGTAAGGGCAGCAAATGAGGATTTTTTGTTAAAGGATTTGGATTTATCCTGAGCATAGTGGGGAAGTTTAATGAAGGGTGTAAACAGGTGTGGTACATTTGTTTCTGTGAAGAGTGAGTCCTTTGGAGAATGATTCGAAGGGCGTGGTTCAGGTACAGATGGTAGCCACCTGGAGTTGGATAGGGTTGGAGAGAGGTGGTTGAAATCTGGAGATATTCAGGACCTACCAAGTAATAGGCAGGGGTTAGCATGGGTCCAGGTTGATATTCAGGTTTTCAGTAGATGGTGGGGCTATAACAGAGAGGAAATGTGAAAGGAAGTGCAGATCTATTAGGGGCAAGGAGGAGCGTGTGGTGAGCTCGGTTTTGGAAATACTGAGTTTGAGGTGTCAATTGGAGGTGTTGAATAGACAGATGGATCTGTTGATCTGGAGTTCAGGCACGAGATCCAGGTTGGAGGGAAGAGATTGGGAAGTATCAGCCTAAGTGAGTTCATTAAAGCCAGAAGATGGTATGAGGCTCTCCAGGGGAGAAAAAGAGGACATTGCCGACCCCTTATGGTACATTAGAGGAGGGGAGAGTGTTGGAAGGAAACTGAGATGAAACTGCCCAAGAAGAAGAAAGAAAACCAGAACAGCAGGCCTCAGTAACCAGTCCCTGTTTACTTGCATTTATTCTTTCATAGGGATGGGGTCTCACTCCATCACCCAGGCTGGAGTACATTGGCACCATCATAGCTCAATACGTCCTCAAACTCCTAGGCTCAAGTGATCCTTTTGACTTAGTCTGCCAAGAGCTGGGACTATAGGTACACAACCACACCCAGCTAATTTTTTTTTTAAACTTGTATTTTTGAGATGGAGTCTTGCTGTGTTGCCCAGGCTGGTCTGGGAGTTCTTTCCTCTAGTTATCTTCCTGCTTCAACCTCCTGAGTAGGTGGGATTATAGGCGTGTGCCTGCTTGCTTGGCTTAGTGGCTTATTCTATTTATTTATTTATTTTGCTTGCTTCGACTTTTTTTTTTCCTACTATGGTTTCTTCTTCCTGTAATTTTCTTCCTCATGCACCAGGTCTGTCTATAACGTCTAGAGTCAGCTTCTTGAAGAACTATGGTTTGTTTATTTATTTATTTTGAGATGGAGTCTCACTCTGTCGCCCAGGCTGGAGTGCAGTGGCGCAATCTCGACTCACTGTAAGCGCCACCTCCTGGGTTCACGCCATTCTTCTGCCTCAGCCTCCCGAGTAGCTGGGACTACAGGTGCCTGCCACCATGCCCGGCTAATTTTTTTGTATTTTTAGTAGAGATGGGGTTTCACCGTGTTAGCCAGGATGGTCTCGATCTCCTGACCTCGTGATCCACCCGTTTCGGCCTCCCAGAGTGCTGGGATTACAGGCATGAGCCACCGCGCCCGGCCTCGGTTTATTTTTATACCAGGTGTGGAATGTGTTCAGTAAATACAGGGAGAACTGAACCCACAGGCATTGCCTTCCTTCTGTTAATAAGTCCAGAGAAATTGCCATCCATTATTAGAAGTTATCAGTCTCAGGGAACTGGTAACTTTATATAGCTGTGGGTATATTTTGAGCCTGATTTTTACCAGAAGAGGAAACAGGCATGGTCCCTAGAAAATGTTTTGCCCTTGGAGAGTCTGTTCCACAGTTTCTGACATTTAGTAACAGTCAATGGTAGAAAATTTGTATAGCAAACTTTTCCTTTGAAAGCTCCAGAAGCTCTGCTCTGTAGCATATAAACAGATGGCTCAGGCGTCAGGCCTAATCTTACCAAATGACTGTTCAGAAATAATCTGAGTGGGGTCACACCTGTTTCTAGTTTGTACATATAGTCTCTGATTCATACCAAGAAATATCAGTATGTTGGTTTCTTGCACTATTCTCTCACCAAGCAAATATGGAATTATATCTTATAGATTTGGGTGAAAAACTTTGTTACTGTCCAAATATAAATGGAGGGAAAAGTCTTTCCTCTTGCTTAACTGAATACCATTTCACTTCTATAATGACAATTTTTTTTTTTGAGATGGAGTTTCACTCTTACTGCCCAGGCTAGAGTGCAATGGTGTGATCTCAGTTCACTGCAACCTCTGCCTCCCAGGTCCAAGCGGTTCTTCTGCCTCAGCCTCACCAGTAGCTGGGATTACAGGTGCCTACCACCACGCCTGGCTAATTTTTTTTTTTTTTTTAAATAGAGACGGGGTTTTATTATGTTGGCCAGGCTGGTCTTGAACTCCTGACCTCACATGATCTGTTCACCTTGGCCTCCCAAAGTGCTGGGATTACAGGAGTGAGCCACCGTGCACGGCCCTATAATGACAGTTACAAGGGCAGCACAATAATATTATTATAACACTATACCCAAGGGTTTCAGCTATATCAGTAGTGTTTCTTACACTGGGTGTATGGGTATTTTTTTTTTGTTTGTATTTTTAGTCTTCATATTTTTACAAGTGTCTAAGATATATTAAATTAAAAGCAACATGGTTAATATACATATATCCAATATAGTTAACTTAGGTTGCTAACTTTCTTCTCAATTCACCATATTTGAACTACAGAAAGTAACTTTTAAAAATGGGAAAATGAATGATCCCCTTAGGAAAATGTTGCTGTTCATTATAGCAATAGTTTCTCAAAGCTGTTGGAATTCCCTGCCTATCATTCTTCTGAGTTTCAAAACATTTTTTCAGGAGAGGCTTTGAGTCCTTATGGAGTTTAAGGGGAGCTAGAAAATTCTCTCAGATTTTAAAAGTATATGCTGAAAAGTATATGCTGAAGGAGGTGGCTTGAAGGAGGTGGTGAGACAAGAGGGTGCCACCTGGGCATGGCCACTGCCTGGGGCATCACCTTGATGGAATCAGCACAGTCCAGAGTGCAAGAGCCAGGCTCAAAAATCTCATGTCATGGGAAAATCTGATTTAATCTAGCTCACTGAGAATGATGTGCAAAACCAGGACCCAAGTTTAGTAATTTATAAGCAGTAAGGAACTGCCAAGGGTCCCAGGTATGTGTACCCTCTGCCCAGGCTAAGATTTTCCTATAGTTAGGGCACATGGGAGCCAGAACAAACCAGAAGTTTCATGGTGAACATGGAATCAGTAGAGATGTTGCCTTGAAAAAGTAGGTATTTTCATAAGTAGGCCAGGCGTGGTGGCTTATGCCTGTAATCCCAGCACTTTGGGAGGCCGAGGTGGGCGGATCACCTGAGGTCAGGAGTTCAAGACCAGCCTGTCCTGGCCAACATCG